GTACCCAGCTAATTTTTGTATTTTTATTAGAGACGGTGTTTCACCATGTTGGCCAGTCTGGTCTCGAACTCCTGAACTCAGGTGATCTGCCTGCCTTGGCCTCCGAAAATCCTGGGATTATAGGCATGAGCCACCACACCGGGCCGGTAGTTCTATATTTAATTTCTATGTACAAATTTCTGTTTTCCATAATGTGTGCACCAATCTACTTTCCTATTCAACAGTATTCTAGGGTTCCCTTTTCCCCAAACCTGAGCTAGCATTTCTTATCTCATCTTTTTCCCTCTGTCTTTTTAATAAGCACTTTTCCTTTCAACACAAATTTTCTCATTCCAACTTTCATCTGCTCCTTCTAGAATCGCCCTTCTCAGGGGCAACTCAGATCCAAGACTAGGATGAGGCAAATAAGGTGCCTAGAGAAAATTTAAGGAGGCACTCTCAGGAATACACAAGTCCAGGTACAGCCCTAAGAGTGAGGACTTCCTTAAAATTTTTACCCTAGGCACCTCAATCCACACAGCTTCTGCCATCCAATCATAAGTGGATCCGCCCCCACCCAGGCATCAATGTCTCATTAACACTTTCCTACCGCCCAGCCTTTTCATCTCATAGTACCTTGGCTACACTGAGTCAAGGTCTAAAAGTCTATCCCCCTTTGAGGCCTACAGCATGCATTACTCTACTTGACCCAGCAGCGATGGTTTTTGGTTCAGTTAGGCAATCATACTTGCAAGAGCCAAAAAGGCCAACCTCTCACCAGTTTACTCAGTTTGTAGAAGAGTCTATGGCAGTGAATAAAGCATACTGTCTAGAAGCAGAGCAGCTTCAGATGTGTTCCTTCAATGCAAGTCTTCACAGGAGTCCAGGGCTGTTATTTTGCCTCCAAATTATAGCTCTAGTTTCAAGGAAACAAGATTACACAAGTGGGTGTAGGGGCCTCTTTAGCTTTCCCTTGGATAATGCCCCCATCATACTGTGGCGTGTAGCCTCATGGATAATTCCCTCATCATACTGTGGCGTGTAGCCTCATGGATAATTCCCCCATCATACTGTGGCGTGTAGCCTCATGGATAACTCCCCCATCATACTGCGGCGTGTAGCCTCATGGATAACTCCCCCATCATACTGCGGCGTGTAGCCTCATGGATAACTCCCCCATCATACTGCGGCGTGTAGCCTCATGGATAACTCCCCCATCATACTGCGGCGTGTAGCCTCATGGATAACTCCCCCATCATACTGCGGCGTGTAGCCTCATGGATAACTCCCCCATCATACTGCGGCGTGTAGCCTCATGGATAACTCCCCCATCATACTGCGGCGTGTAGCCTCATGGATAACTCCCCCATCATACTGCGGCGTGTAGCCTCATGGATAACTCCCCCATCATACTGCGGCGTGTAGCCTCATGGATAACTCCCCCATCATACTGCGGCGTGTAGCCTCATGGATAACTCCCCCATCATACTGCGGCGTGTAGCCTCATGGATAACTCCCCCATCATACTGCGGCGTGTAGCCTCATGGATAACTCCCCCATCATACTGCGGCGTGTAGCCTCATGGATAACTCCCCCATCATACTGCGGCGTGTAGCCTCATGGATAACTCCCCCATCATACTGCGGCGTGTAGCCTCATGGATAACTCCCCCATCATACTGCGGCGTGTAGCCTCATGGATAACTCCCCCATCATACTGCGGCGTGTAGCCTCATGGATAACTCCCCCATCATACTGCGGCGTGTAGCCTCATGGATAACTCCCCCATCATACTGCGGCGTGTAGCCTCATGGATAACTCCCCCATCATACTGCGGCGTGTAGCCTCATGGATAACTCCCCCATCATACTGCGGCGTGTAGCCTCATGGATAACTCCCCCATCATACTGCGGCGTGTAGCCTCATGGATAACTCCCCCATCATACTGCGGTGTGTAGCCTCATGGATAACTCCCCCATCATACTGCGGCGTGTAGCCTCATGGATAACTCCCCCATCATACTGCGGCGTGTAGCCTCATGGATAACTCCCCCATCATACTGCGGCGTGTAGCCTCATGGATAACTCCCCCATCATACTGCGGCGTGTAGCCTCATGGATAACTCCCCCATCATACTGCGGCGTGTAGCCTCATGGATAACTCCCCCATCATACTGCGGCGTGTAGCCTCATGGATAACTCCCCCATCATACTGCGGCGTGTAGCCTCATGGATAACTCCCCCATCATACTGCGGCGTGTAGCCTCATGGATAACTCCCCCATCATACTGCGGCGTGTAGCCTCATGGATAACTCCCCCATCATACTGCGGCGTGTAGCCTCATGGATAACTCCCCCATCATACTGCGGCGTGTAGCCTCATGGATAACTCCCCCATCATACTGCGGCGTGTAGCCTCATGATAACTCCCTCATCATACTGCGGCGTGTAGCCTCATGATAATTCCCTCATCATACTGTGGCGTGTAGCCTCATGCCACATATAAAATACAATCTTTTGAACCTATGCAGGATTGGTACAAGAGTACTGCTCTCCTTCCAGGATTCAACAAGGAGAACACCTGGGTATGTCATACCACATTCAGGAAAACCCAAAGCTATGGCCTCTCCTCAAGTATTCACAATCCTCCCAGCTCAGATGCACTTTACCAATCAAGGGTTATGTTTACCACGGGCAATGCTGTAAGGTCACACAGCTGTCATTCCACCTTTAGCAGATTACAGAGAAAGAGTGCTGGAAGATCACCAGGAGGCCATTTTCACAGGAGACAGGAAAAAGGGTTTACTAACCCTTTACTCACACACAGTAAGGCACAACACCATAAAATTTCAGAAGGGTAGAATAAAAAAAAAACAATCTAATACCTTCTAGGTTTCTTTTTTTTAAAGTCTCATTCAAAGTTTTAGTAATCAGAATGGCTTCACACCTTTCAACAACATCTACAGAACCTAGAAGTCATTGGAGGAATATCTTCAAAATTCCAAGAAAAAAACAGTTTCTAAAATAGAAATGCAAATCTATATAAACTGTTACTTGAGCTTAAAAGCAGATCTCTCAGACATGCAGAAACTTAGAACATTTTCTTTAATGGACCATTTCTCAGAAACTTCTGCAGAACCCTCATCCCCAACCACACCAAACAAAGGAGTAATCCAAGAAAGAGCTGCAAATCCAAGAAACAGAAGATCTCTCATGGGAAAGAAGCAACATCTCAGAATGGTAGTGAGGAGAGATTTCAGGACATTCAGCAGGCCTAAAGAGCATATCATGGAGCAGTATGATGAGGGCATTATTCAGGGGAAAGAGGAAATTTGTATTTCTGTCAAAGTATTTTGAGGTGAATTACTGATTGAATATAAAAAAAACTAACAAACAAAAAAATCATTCAATAACCCTGGGGTAAAAGAGGGATTTAAGCACAGAAAAACAACTCTAACTCAGCTATGCCCTGTCTTTACTATGCTGGGAGAATGGGAAGGGGGAAATGGACTTTCAGTGGGAAAGAGGGTGGTGGTTTTCAGAAACTTCTGGTTTACTGATCCAACAGCCATTTCAAATTCCCTTTTCCTTTGTCTCCACACGCACCCCCCGCCACACACACACACACACACACACACACACACACACACACACACACTATATTCCCTTGACTGGAGAAAGGCTAATTACTCCCTTTCCAAACTTCTCTGGTAGCTATGGGTGACTAAAAATCTGTTCAAGTCAATGATCTGTAATCAGAAGTCTAGTAAGTGTTTCTGGAAAAGCTTTTACTTTCCTTATTGAACAAGTAGATCTGGCTGTCATCCCTTTCCTTTCTTTTTGTCTTAGACATGAATTGATGCCTAGAGCTGCAACAGTCACAAGTGCAAACATGAATCAACAAACAAAATATGCTAAGGATGGTGGAATAGAAAGAAAGAGCATGAGTGACTGATGACACAGAAGAGCCACTGAGCTGACTCTCAACAGCCTACCTCTAAGACTTATTAAATGAAAGCTGTCAGTCGGGTTTTCTGTTACTTACAACTGAACACAAAAATTCATCACTAACACATGGTAGATGAGGGTTAAATACGCATTCGCTATAGTGGGAAGGCAATACATGATGTCTAAAGATTTAGAAACCAAGAAATAACAAGTTGAAGCATTCTATTTACTTGGAAACATGACAGTAAGCACCTGAAAAAAATAGCTAAAAGAAATAAAACTGGATGCCACTGAGGAGTGGAAATTGGGGAGAGGCAGGGCTGGCGACTGCTATTTTTCTTTTTCTTCTTTTTTGAGACAGGGTCTTACTCTGTCGCCAAGGCTGGAGTGCAGTGGTGTGTCACAGCCTCAACCTCCTGGGCTCAAGCAATCCTCCCATTTCAGCCTCCCATGTAGCTGACCACAGGCATGTGCCACCATGCCTGGCTAGTTTTTAATTTATTTTTATTTTTGTAGAGATGGGGGTCTCCCTATGTTGCCCAGGCTGCATTATTTTTTATTGTAAACCTTACAGTAGGGTCTCTCAACATCAGCACTCCCAACATTTTGGGCCATGTAATTCTTTGCTGTGTGGAGCTGTCCTGTGCACTGTTTATCAGTGTTTCTGTCCTCCACCCATTAGATGTGTCTTTTCCCCAATTGTGACAACCAAAAATACTTTTGACCATTGCCAAATGACTCTGCAAGGCAAAACTGCCTTTGGTTAAGAACCAAAACACAGTTTGCTGGTCATTGGCAGCTTGAGGTTTGGCTGAATATGCCAAGGTGAAATGGCCAAACCCGGCTTGGTTTAGCCTTATAGTACTTTTCTTTTTAACTTTTAGTAATTCTACAAATCTGTGATTTTCATACAATTAAATTATGGGTAAAGAGACAGTATGAAAGGAGCTAGATCAGAAACTGACAAATGTCATTTCACCTTTCAAACACTTCTCACTCTCCTTCACTGACCTTTCCCAGCCTAAGAATCCCATTCCTTCCCTCCCAGACAAGCACAGACAGAGCAGACACTTACCACCTAAAAATGCACACTCATAATGGCTGCAGGTCTTGTTTGTGCTTTGAAGGATGAGGTCATTGCCATCCCCTTCCTGTGACACTTGAAAAACCTCATTTAGAGGTATTAAAGTAATTCTTTCACTTTCTTTATCAAGAAAAATTTCAATGTCAACTCCAAGGCATGTGTAGATGGACAACACAGTTTGCTGGTCATTGGCAGCTTGAGGTTTGGCTGAATATGCCAAGGTGAAATGGCCAAACCTGGCTTGGTTTAGCCCTCCAAATGTAAATGAAGTGCCCTGGCTTGTTCTATACACCACATTTTTGTAACTGGCCTTACAAGGTCTTCTCAGCAACTGCAGGGCTCTTGTCAGGTAAAAGTGAAAAGCTTTGAACTGGAAGCCATAGATATAATCTTCTCGAGATTGGCCAGCCATCTTCACAGCTTCGTTGAACAGATGGTAGAAGGGAGTTTGCTCTTGAGCTTCGGAAATATATGCCAGCAGGGCTATTCCATGGTTATCCTTAAAATTCACAGGGAGAAAAATTTGAGTCTTTCGGGCTTCCCATTTGGCTTTTGCGTTTTCCCACACAGTATCCAATTGCTGGTGGCTTGCTTTTTCCTCCTTTAGTAGTTGGGGAACGTATTTAATTTCCATCCTGTCAGTACATTTCAGATATTCATCATCAAATGCATTATCTGCCATGTCTAACACTTCAGCCTTCACCTTCAAAGGAAAAAGAAATTAATACTTTTGAAATAAGATATTTAATTACTATCATTTTCTCTTACATTATTACCCACCTTCTCATCCCTTGCCAAAATTCTCTCCTTACTTATAACCAACTTTGAGTATTTTTTTAATGTAGGAAGTATATTCCATTGCTACTGATTACTTTTTAGCTGTGACCTATTTGTGTGAAAGAGTAAATGTCATGGGTGAGAGGTATGGGTGGGACTGTGCCTGTGGCTCATTTATCTGGACATTATAGCACAGAGCAAAGAACAATGAATGTGAAGCTAAAGAATTGGGTGGCAGTCCTGGCTTTGAACAATATTCTTAGCTAGATTTCCTCAACCCTTCAAGACTGTTGGGAATTTGAAGCATCACATGGAAAGTATTATTCATGATCTATAACACATAATGACAAATACTACTCCTTTTCCTTTAGGGTTGCCACCTCCCTTGTCCATATGGCTTGGGTAGAACTGATTTTGCACTTCCTGGATAAGCAGATCTAAGCCTAGCAATCAGAACTCCCAGAGGAAAAAAATGTATTTCTCTCTCTAAAGCTGTAAGCTCTAAGGATAATATTGACCTAGAGTTTCCAACAGTTACTTTTAGTGCCATGGAGAATTCTGTCTGAAAATAAAGCAACAAATAAGGCTTGCTGAGCTGAGAGGTAGAGATGAGGCACTGAAAACATACCAGAGACACTGGGCCTAACTGTACCTGAAGACTGTTCCTTGCCAGTTGTAAGAATCAATAAATTCCCTGTTTGCTTAAGCTAGTTTGAATTGTATTTCAATCACATACAACTAAAGAGGCATAATTCCACATACAACTAAATTATACATATACATATGTTCACATACCATAAGAAGCAGGGTGGTATAATGTAATTAACAGTACTTTGCAGCCAGGCAGATCTGAGTTCAAATCCCATTTGTTACTATGTATGGAAGTTCCTTGACATTTCTAATCCCCAAGTTTTCCATTAAAAAAATGAGGATGAAGTGGAGGGAATAATATTTTAGCCGCGGGATGGCTGTGAGAATTAAATTACATAATGAATATATGCAAAGCCCTTTGCCCCATGCCTGGCAAATATCAAGTGTCTTTAACATATGGTGATTATTATTTTTTCATAAGGCCTTTCTCCAGTGTGATGTAACTATTTTATATTACTTCATGCTAGGAATATATGTATTATACTGTTAGTTCCTTAAGGGTAGGATCTGTATTGTATTTATTTTTGAATCCCAAGCACCTAGCATAGAACCAGACAAAATATTCAAGTGAACTAAATTAGAACCCTGTACTCTGGGCTTATGGATTAAAAACTAAGATGATCAAATCTCCCCAGGAATATTATTTATGGATATCTACAAATAAAAGGATAATGCCTCTTTTTCCATTATTCTATATTTGAATGTTGCATAGTTACACAAGTCTGCTTAGGGACCTCAGTTGGAGACTTTATAGACACATTTAGCCAGAAGCTGCTAAAGTTACAGATTTTTTTAAAAAGTTACAGATTCTGTGTGAATGATTCTTAAAAACTCTCACTCTCACTCTGTGTGTGTGTGTGTGTGTGTGTGCGTGTGACAGAGAGAGAGCAAGAGAGACAGATACTAACTTGTAAAAGCAGAAACAAAACTTGCTTCCATATCCTGCTCTAGCTATATCCTTTCCCCTGTCTCTGTTCTCTCCCTCACAGACAAACATCTTGAAAGAGATGTCTATCTTTTCCATCTCCACTTAATTTCTCACTAATATCTCAACCCTCACCCCGTTATGGCTTTCCACCGATTTCTCCACCTGAACAGCTCTCACTTAAGGGGGAATTTCTTCTTACACTCTTTTGTAGACACAACATATTCCAGTTAGCCACTAAATGTTGGAGTTTCTCAAAGCTATGTATTTTCTAACTATCAACTCAATGCTCCCCAGGCAATTATATGCATGCTTACAGTTTCAATTATTTTCCAAATATATATGACCTATCCTGTAAGTGCCAGTCCTATATATAAAATTTATTTGCTTATTTAACACCTCCACTTGAATGTTCAAAGACCCTTCAAAGGTAACATGACTAAGATAAAACTTATAATCTTACAACCACAACGAACTTTTCTTTTAAAACCATCTATTCATTTGCGAACTTTTCCTACATATCTCCTTCTCAGACACACTGTGGCCACTCACTAAGCTTAACGAACATCTCCAGAGTTCTTTCTATACGCCAGGCACTAAGTGTTCAGCAACCTTTAAGGTAGGTACTACTATTAGCCCCCTTTTCTTTTTTCAAAGATGAGGAAACTAAGAGATTGAGACTTACACGGAACTGGAATTTGAACTCAGGCAGTCTAATTCCAGAGTCTTGTCCTCTTAACCAAACTGTTCTGTTGCCTCTAAAGAATGAGAATTTTCCAATGATGAAGACCATAAACATTTATGTAGCACTTGAAGAAGAATGTAATTCTGTCTTCATAACAACCATTATAAAAGGTTGAAAAGACAATTGTTAACACCATTTTACAAATGAGGGAACTGTGCCAGCTTCAAAAACTGTCTTGATTACTAGCCACACAGAATTCTGCCATGGAAGTCACTGAGACCCCTGTACTCCTGGGTTTGTAGGTCAGTTTCTTGCCACAGGAATTTAAGCTTCAGGAGATCAAATCACTGCCATCTCATAGCCAAGAAATGCACTTTCCTCTACAGCACAGAATGTACCAGAGTGCAGCTTGGGCACCAATGGCTGATTTCTCTTCAAGACTTCAACACAGTGTAAGACATCAAACCCTGAAAATACCTCCCACATTCCCTACATTATATGAGAGTTGATCTACTATGTTCCTGTTTTTTTCCCTATGCCTCTAACAAGTCTCCAAATATCTAATTTTAGACAACAAGTCTTTCTGGCCAGACAGCTCAGCTGATTGTGTATTTTGTACGGTGTGTGCCTCGAGCAGTAACAGAGTTCATTAATGCCACCACTATTTAGGGACAACTGAACAGATACTTAAAAACAGATACAAAAGACTAGGTGAACAAGCTGATTATATTCCTCTGATACATCCACTGAGAAAAAAATCCAATACTGATGAAATTCAATTACCAAAAATTTCTTACAAAAATATGGAAATGACCTAAATGTCAAGGAGAGAAATTGGCTAAACGAATCATGAAACAATTATAGAACAAAAACATTTAAAGTATATTGCAAGAGTATATTGAAAACCAAATCAAAGCCACAATGAAATAGCACTTCATATCCTCTAGGATGGCTATAAATGATGAAAAACCAAGTAGCATGTAACACAAGGATGCAGAGATATTAGAACCCTAATATATTGCTGGTGGGATTGTAATACCATGCAGCTAGTGTGAGAAAGTTTGGCAGTTCCTCAAAAAGTTAACACAAAATTACCATATGACCCAGCAATTTCATTCCTAGGTATATACGCAAGAGAAGTGAAACATATGTTCACAATAGGTAATTCCGTTATCATGTATCATAAATCATAACCTCCCAAATTCATTTTTACATATATATTTCCTATATATATAAGTAAACTTTACTCTGTAATGCTAGCCAAATAGTGTTTGTATTATCTCAATACATACAGATTATATGATTAGAAAATTTTTTAAAAAGAAAAATAAGACATATGTTCACACAAAAACTTGTACATAAATGTTGACAGCAACACTATTCAGAATAGCTGTAAAGTGGAAATGACCCAAATGTCAGCTGATAAATGGATAAAAATGCAGTACAGCCATAAAATAGAATATGACTCAGCTATAAGAAGGAATGAAGTATTGATAGAAATCTTGAAAACATTATCTTAAGTGAAAGAAGCCAGACACAAAAGGTCACATATTATATGATGCCATTCAGGTGAACTATCCAGAAGAGGCAAATCCATAGACACAGAAAGTAAATAGTGGTGGCCAGGCAATGGAGGAAAGAGAAAATTGGGTCTGGCTGCTAGGAGGTAAGGGATTCTTTTTGGGTTGATGGAAATTTTCTCCTATCAGATAATGGTGTTGGTCGCAGAACATAATGAATATACTAAAACCTCTGAAATATACAACTTAAAGTGGTGAATTTTTATTGTATGTAAATTATATGTCAATAAAAAATGTGATACAGGCAACAGAATACACAATGATTCTACAGACAATGGATTAGAATATTAAATTTAAAAATGGGTAACATCTTAAGAATTTAAGATATTTTAAAGAAGACATTTAAAATGGTGCACAAATATTCAGAAGTAATGTGATAGCTAACAATGTGGGGGGGAAATCAAGTGAAATATTATTATTTACACAAAAATATGTTACAGGATGTTTAAAGGGTCAATTGCAAATACAATCATAAACGTTCTTCCAGAAAAAAAAATGTGAGAAAATGGTCATTAATTTAAAAACATGTAATCAAACAATGCAGCATTATTTTATTTGGAGAAAAACATTTTCACAACATCTGATGACATGGAGAGACATGTAGCATAGTATTAACTTAAAAAGCAAAGAAAAAAATACTATGTACAGTGCAAACCCATTTTTGTAAATTAAAAACAGTGTACACATAGAAAAAAGCCAAGAAGGCTGTATACACCAACAGATTGGGAATCATTTTCTCTGAGTGGAGGGATTATGAATAATCTTTACTTTCCTCTTTTTGCTTAATTTTAAGTTTTTCAACTTTTGTAGTTAACATGTGCCACATATGTAAAATGAAAAGAGCTACTTATAATAAATTCATTTACCTATCCTACCTACTTTTATTTCCAGCATCAGATGTCTCAGGTCATGTTATATCAAGAATTTCCATTCCAATGACCACATGCTTCCCATTCCCAACATTACCTGGAAAATGTCCACTAGAATCATGGCTGCCAGCAGTATGGTGACTATTTCAAAATGACCTGTCTTCATTTTTCTCTTCTAAATTAAAATAAAGAAATTTCAATTCAGTAGACTCAAAAAAGAGGTTTAGGAAAGTAGTATAGGATGATACTGTATATTTTTTTCATTCAGAATGCAAGTGGATAGCATGATGGTCAGGAAGTGATTATCAATAAATTCCTGATGGGCTTCCAGAGCCATTAGGCTTTATCTACGGGTCTAACACCCTCATTCTACCGAAGAGAAAATAAAAACTCCTGAGAATTTCAGTGATTTGCTCAAGATTAAATCTGTCTATTTCCATACGCCTTCAGACATGTCATCTCTCCCACCATAGTCATATATTCTTCCCATTTCTAAATCTCCCCTCAGCACGCACAGGAATAACACAATCAGATTAAAAAACAGCAGTCTCAAAACGGTCTCCTGCTCCCAGTTTCTAAGAATTACCCAGGATTATGTCCATACATATTATCCCTTCTTCTATCCTCTTTGCACATTAAGTCACGCCCTTTTCAGTGGGATGAAGGAGATGATGAGGCCAGTAGTGGTACAAAGCAGTGGATTATCAGAGATGGCCCCCTTCCCACAAATATCACAATCAAGAGAAGCCCAAGGGTAAAATAAATGCCTTGCATAACTTTCTGAAGGCGGGAACAAGAATAAGAAGGAACTGGGTAGACAACAATTCTAAGATTATACAACTATTGGCTGAATGCCTAATATTCAGCCTAGTATTTATATTCCGAAAGGGGTAAACAGTGGGTCAAGAGGCCCTCAAAGGCTGAAGTTATCACAGAGCCATTAAATAACTCAATTAAAAGCTACAGCAGGTCAACCTACAGTTCCTTCCACATACCTCCAACAAAGTGACACCACTGCAACTCAAATGAAGCTTCCATTTTATCCTACCAATCACCATATTCTGGATTCTAAAAATAAGAATGAACAGCACAAGGGAAGGGAGATAGTTTTCCCTTTTATAGATCATTTGGGCCTCAATTTCCCATATTTCTTCCAAAGCAGTTTTGTTTTTACTAAAAATACTAAAATATAGTACCAACATGTTCCTTTGTGTTAAGCCTCTCTTTCCAAAAAAGATTTGGAATATAAGATAACAGATATCTGTCACAAGGCAATATTACCAAGCAAGCTTTGGATCAGGATTTTCCTTAAAATTGTTCATATCTTTAGTCTGAGTGTAAAGAAGCCAAAAGGTTTACCTGGCTTTTATGCCTTTGGAGGAAGTTTAAATGATGCTAGGCCTCAAACTGACTCCCCCACTCTCAGCTGTGGTAAGCGAGTCTTCAGGATGGGATGTTGTTGACAGTGAGAACTGAGAAGGGAATGCTTTTCTTTTTATAAACACCCCCAGCAGTAACTTGGCAGTGGCACATTACCCTACTTGTGTTCTGCTATTTATATCTGGCCCCCACACTATGCCTTGGAATCACTGCTGTTAACACTTTAAATTGCCAAGAGGCTTGTAAAGCCATAGCAATTCCCTTTAACCACACAGCTCTTTCAGTTCTGAGCCCACAGTTCTGGGCTTCACTCAGAGAGAAATCACTTCCCATTCCTAATCCTTTGACACTGAGATATCAAACTAAAGAATTGATTTTACTCTAGGCTAAATGATTCACATAAATAAAACGCCTTGCTTTGTTAATCACTGGCAATGGTGACAGCTATCACCATTCACTCAACTAGTTAGTTTACTGCATGTATTTCAGGTACTGTGTCAGGTGTCAGGGTACACAAGCAAGTAAAACATGTACTAAAAAGCACTCACAATCTAATAAAAGACATGAATATGCATACTTAACCAAAATACATGTGAAGAATCCCAAGTACAGACAAAGTCCAGTGATATCCCTAAGGAGAGAAGGATTTGGTAATGCCTGCAACTATAGCTCTCATTTGAGTAATGTATACGTGGTAAATATACTGACTCCAATGCTGAGGAACACTTACGGTTTTACTGACTGTGGATTTTTAAAAACTGCAGAAACGGTTGGGTAGGTGTGGCTCACACCTCCCAGCACTTTGGGAGGCTGAGGCAGATGGATCACAAGGTCAGGAGATCAACACCATCCTGGCCAACATGGTGAAACCCTGTCTCTACTAAAAATACAAAAATTAGCTGGTGAGGTGGTGAGTGCCTGTAATCCTGGCTACTCGGGAGGCTGAGGCAGGAGAATTGCTTGACCAGGGAGTCAGAGATTGCAGTAAGCTGAGATTGTGCCACTAGACTCCAGCCTGGTAACAGAGCAAGAACTCCGTCTCAAAAAAACAAACAAAAAACCCACAAAAGTATCCTAAGAAATTAATGCATACACCAAAATACATTAATAGAATGTTGATAGTATCCCTACTCATAATAATTTCAAACTGGAAACCATCTAAATGTTCATCAACAGAACGGATAAACTAGTATATTCATACAATGGAATTTTATATAGCATTGAAAATGAACAAATTCTGATCATATATAACAATATAGATAAATCTCACAAAATTTTGAGCAAAAAAAGAGATACAAGCATGTTTATACTGTATGATTTAATTTATATCGAGAACACAATTAGGCAAAACACATCCAAGGCTTGAGATGTTAGAATAGTGGTCACCATGGGGAGTAGCTAGTAACTGGAAAGGGCACAGAGAAGCATCTGAGATGTTAGATGGGTTCTGCTTTTTGCTATGGGTGTCAATTATATTGACACATTCAGTTCATGAAAATTCAGCAAGCTATATACTGATAATATGTGTATTTTTTGTACACACACATATTATCTCAAGAAAACATTTTAAATTATCATGAAATACACCCATATTTACAAAAACCAACTTTACTCTTTAAAATTTGGAAAGTTTCAACTTTTTCCCACCTCGCTGGTGAGACAACCTAAAATTGAATACATAGCATAGACTCACTCCCAGAAATAACATTTTTTTAAAAAAAGCAGGAGTTTGGTTAGACAGGAAAAAGAGTTTGCATGTTTTCAGGCCTTAGGTTTACATTGACCTGCTTTTAAGTCTGAGGCATGTAGGCCTACAGAAGTTCTCGTCACTGCTTCCCAAAACCTGCCAGATTCATCTATATATCACACAAAAGACAATGTTTGGCCAGTGCAGTGCTCAAGTCTGTCATCCCAGCACTTTGGGAGACAAAGGTAGGCAGATCACCTGAGGTCAGGAGTTCGAGACCAGCATGGCCAATATCATGAAACCCCGTCTCTACTAAAAATACAAAAATTAGATGGTCGTGTGGCACGCACCTGTAACCTCAGCTACGCAGGAGGCTGAGCAGGAGAACTGCTGGAACCTGGGAGGTGAAGGCTGCAGTGAGCCAAGATCATGCCACTGCACCCCAGCCTGGGAGACAGAGCAAGACCCTGTCTCAAAAAAACCTATAACTCAATCAAGACAGTTGCAGGTGGCAAAAAAAAAAACAACGTTTACCCAAAAGAGAACATAACAAATGCCAGATCACATTCACAGCAAGTTTGGCCTTGTTTATCCCCAATATGATTTTGCTCCATTCTGTTTTGTCCCAGTTTTTAACTTGATTTCTTTCATTCATTCATTGAACAAATATTTGAGTCCTTAAAAAGTACTAAGAACTGCTTTAGGTACTAGAGGTATACCAGTGAACAAAATGGATAAATATCTTGCCTTTGTACAGTTTATATTCTTGTGAGGAGGGTGGTAAAATAGTTAAAATAAATAAATATGTAAATTATGTAAGTATGTTAGAATGTAGTAAGTGCTATGGTTTTGCCTTTCGTTTATAAGTAGCACAAAGGAGACTAGGAGTGCATGGAGTGTTTGCAATTTAAATTGGATGGCTAGGGAAGACTCACTGAAAGGTGGTATTTGAGCAGAGACTTGAAGGAGATCAGCCATGAAGACTGTGGTTGCCAAACAGTGAATAGCACATACTAAAGTCCTGAGACAAGAGAATGCCTACTTTTGTTTGAGGAATAGTAAGCAGGCCAATATGATTGGAACAGAAGAGTAGTACAAGATAAGGTCAGAGGTGTAAGGGGGGTGCTGGGAAGATCATGTCAATCTTTGTAGGCCACTGTAAGAACATTGGCTTTCACTCTAAGAGAAGAGGAGCAAATCACAGGTTTTGAAAAGAGGTATAACATGGGGCGTGGTGGCTCATGCCAGTAATCCAAGCACTTTGGAGGCCAAAAGAGGTATAACATGATCTGATTTACTTTTTTAAGAGGATCACTCTGGCTGTTATGCTGAGAATGGTCTGTAGGGTGAATGTAAGAAGACTAATTTACAGGTTATTATAATAATGCAAGCAGAGATTATGATGGCTTGAACCAGGATGGCAGCATTAAACATAATGAGAAGTAGATGTGTGTGTATGTGTGTTGTTGCTGCTGCTGAGGTGGTATGACATAGATGTCTGAGTGGATGGTGGTGTGATGTGGACGTCTGAGTGGATGATGGTGTGACGTGATTGTTTGAGTGAAAAGCATTTGCGGGTTCTAAAAGCCTATTGTATTTTCAAAAATGTAGTAACTCACAAAAAAGTAAATGAGAATGATCTATAAAGATACCAATGTATTATACAATTAAAGTGCTTGTAATCTTAGAGATTTGGGAAGCCAGGGAAGGAGTATCTCTTGAAGGCAAAAGTCCTGGCCTGGGCAACACCTTGTCTCTACAAAAAATTTTAAAATTAGCCAGGTGTGGCGGCCCATGCCTGTAGTCCTAGCTACTTAGGAGGCTGAGGTGGGAAGATCTCTTGAGCCCAGGAGTTCCAGATTACAGTGAGCTATGATGGTGCCACTGCACTCCAGCCTGGGCAACAGAGTAAGACCTGGTCTCAAAAACAAAAATGAAAAAATGTTTAGACTTAAACGTAGGATATATTTTGAACACTGAGGCAATAGGATGCACTGACAAACTAGATGTGGGCTGCAAGAAAAAGAGGAGAATAAAGAATAGCTCCAAGATTTGAGGCTTGAATAACTGGAAGGATGGAAGGATGGAGTTGTCATTGATTGCCATGG